GTAATTAAACCTGGAAAACTGTTCAGGAACCAGTAGGGTTGCCAACTGTCCCGAATTAGCCGGGACGTCCCGTATTTTGGGCCTAATTTTTTTGTCCCATACGGGACTTCTCATATCCTGATTAAATAGACTGCTACGCTGATCTAACCACTGACATAGATAGATATGTCATAATAAAGGCTAGATGTCTTACGGCGGAGTCTCTATCGTCATCACCGGCGGCCATCTTGTCACAGGCAAGCTTTCTGGCGGGCTCTGTGGTGCCTGATGTAAGATGAGTGATCAGCACCAACACAAATACTCTTATCTCGTTGAAATCTTGACGGATTTACAAACGGTTTGGTTTCTTACAAACGTTATTAACTTGGCTATAATTCTGGATGATTATTTATTGATACACTTATTATTCATAAGTGGGCAGTGTCATAACTACATCTCTGACGTTTATAACAAACCAAACCGTTTGAAAATCGGTAGAAAATTGAGAAAGTTATGGTTATTTAAAAGTACATGCACCATTAAAACTCAATGTTACGAGTGAGCGAGCTGCCTGTGGCAAGATGGCCGCCAGGTGCGGACGTCGACCTCCATTGAGAGCCTAAGTCCCTCCCCTTCCGGTCGACCGCCATGGGACCTTATTTAGGAAAAATATTGTATGGTAGTCAATGGCGAGAGACAACAAATATTTTGATCTCGTTTGAATTGTGCCCTGAATTACACATATCATGTTTGTCCATTTAAAAGATACATTTTAAAGTCAAGAAAGTCGCAGTTTGATGTAAAACTGTTGAGGTATAAGACTGTGAAAATACGTGATTACAAAGACTACAAACCCCAAAGGCGCACATTTTCTCTCAATGAATGAAGCTAACTTTACTGAAGCTAACTTTACTGAAGCTAACTTTACTGAAGCTAACTTTACTGAAGCTAACTTTACTGAAGCTAACATTACTGAAGCTAACTTTACTGAAGCTGACGTCTGTCATTGTTTCTATAGTCTTGCGTTATAATCGTAACGTTACGCCGTCATGCCTGAGTGTTTAGTACCAGACTGCACACACACGAGCAGCGGATCTCGCTCGTTGTTTCGCTTCCCGGGAGATGTAGTTCATTGAGTGATTTTCACATAAAACTAAATGTTACTCTTCGGTTTTATGAAAAACTGCGACTTTCTTGACTTTCATAATTATCTTTTAAATTGACAAACATCATATGTGTGATTCAGGGCACAGTTCAGACGGAATAAAAAGATAAGTTGTCTCTCGCCATTGACTACCATACATATTTTTTCCGAAATAAGATCCCGTGAGCCGGAAGCGGAGGGGAGGGTCTTAGGCTCTCTATTGGCCAGCAGCGCGGACGAGACATCTAGCCTTTATTATGTATATCTATGGATACAACAGCAACACGACACTTGAGAATGATCACGACACAGGTCATCATCCAATCACAGCGCTCCCTCGCACGCATCAGACCATACCAATAACAAACTCTACATTGAGAATTAATTATTTTCTTGGGACACATCATTGTTTGATTTGTGAACAGATTTCTCTGCTGTCTGGTCCCTCCCGGTTCGATCCGGACTCGCGCTAACGGCTAATCCCTTTCACTGTCTGACCGGGTTTTGATTTCGGCAAATCTATGGAAGCTTGTTTCCGCCACAGAATGAAAAATAAAAAAGGTAATTGCGACTTTTTATCTCACAATTCTGACTTTTTTTCTCACAATTGCAAGATATAAAGTCAGAATTGCGAGATATAAAGTCAGAATTGCGTGATATAAAGTCAGAATTGCTTGATATAAAGTCAGAATTGCGTGATATAAAGTCAGAATTGCGTGATATAAAGTCGCAATTGCGAGATATAAAGTCAGAATTGCGAGATATAAAGTCAGAATTGCGTGATATAAAGTCAGAATTGCGTGATACAAAGTCACAATTGCGAGATATAAAGTCAGAATTGCGAGATATAAAGTCACAATTGCGTGATAAAGTCAGAATTGCGAGATATAAAGTCAGAATTGCGTGATATAAAGTCACAATTGCGAGATATAAAGTCAGAATTGCGTGATATAAAGTCACAATTGCAAGATATAAAGTCAGAATTGCGAGATATAAAGTCAGAATTGCGTGATATAAAGTCAGAATTGCGTGATATAAAGTCACAATTGCGAGATATAAAGTCACAATTGCGAGATATAAAGTCACAATTGTGTGATATAAAGTCACAATTGCGAGATATAAAGTCAGAATTGCGTGATATAAAGTCAGAATTACGAGATATAAAGTCAGAATTGCGAGATATAAAGTCAGAATTGCGTGATATAAAGTCAGAATTGCTTGATATAAAGTCAGAATTGCGTGATATAAAGTCAGAATTGCTTGTTGTGAAGTCAGAATTGCGTGATATAAAGTCGCAATTGCTTGTTGTGAAGTCAGAATTGCGTGATATAAAGTCGCAATTGCGTGATATAAAGTCAGAATTGCGAGATATAAAGTCAGAATTGCGTGATATAAAGTCAGAATTGCGAGATATAAAGTCAGAATTGCGTGATATAAAGTCAAAATTGCGTGATATAAAGTCAGAATTGCGAGATATAAAGTCAGAATTGCGTGATATAAAGTCAGAATTGCGTGATATAAAGTCACAATTGCGTGTTATAAAGTCAGAATTGCGTGATATAAAGTCACAATTGCGAGATATAAAGTCAGAATTGCGAGATATAAAGTCAGAATTGCGTGATATAAAGTCAGAATTGCTTGATATAAAGTCAGAATTGCGTGATATAAAGTCAGAATTGCGTGATATAAAGTCACAATTGCGAGATATAAAGTCAGAATTGCGAGATATAAAGTCAGAATTACGTGATATAAAGTCACAATTGCGAGATATAAAGTCACAATTGCGAGATATAAAGTCACAATTGTGTGATATAAAGTCACAATTGCGAGATATAAAGTCAGAATTGCGTGATATAAAGTCAGAATTGCGAGATATAAAGTCAGAATTGCGAGATATAAAGTCAGAATTGCGTGATATAAAGTCAGATTTGCGTGATATAAAGTCGCAATTGCTTGTTGTGAAGTCAGAATTGCGTGATATAAAGTCGCAATTGCGTGATATAAAGTCAGAATTGCGAGATATAAAGTCAGAATTGCATGATATAAAGTCAGAATTGCGAGATATAAAGTCAGAATTGCGTGATATAAAGTCAAAATTGCGTGATATAAAGTCAGAATTGCGAGATATAAAGTCAGAATTGCGTGATATAAAGTCAGAATTGCGTGATATAAAGTCACAATTGCGTGTTATAAAGTCAGAATTGCGTGATATAAAGTCAGAATTGCTTGATATAAAGTCAGAATTGCTTGATATAAAGTCAGAATTGCGTGATATAAAGTCAGAATTGCGTGATATAAAGTCACAATTGCGAGATATAAAGTCAGAATTGCGAGATATAAAGTCAGAATTGCGTGATATAAAGTCAGAATTGCTTGATATAAAGTCAGAATTGCGTGATATAAAGTCAGAATTGCGTGATATAAAGTCACAATTGCGTGATATAAAGTCAGAATTGCGTGATATAAAGTCAGAATTGCGAGATATAAAGTCAGAATTGCATGATATAAAGTCAGAATTGCTTGATATAAAGTCAGAATTGCGTGATATAAAGTCAAAATTGCGTGATATAAAGTCAGAATTGCGAGATATAAAGTCAGAATTGCGTGATATAAAGTCAGAATTGCGTGATATAAAGTCACAATTGCGTGTTATAAAGTCAGAATTGCGTGATATAAAGTCAGAATTGCATGATATAAAGTCAGAATTGCTTGATATAAAGTCAGAATTGCGTGATATAAAGTCAGAATTGCGTGATATAAAGTCACAATTGCGAGATATAAAGTCAGAATTGCGAGATATAAAGTCAGAATTGCGTGATATAAAGTCAGAATTGCTTGATATAAAGTCAGAATTGCGTGATTAAAGGTCAGAATTGCGTGATATAAAGTCAGAATTGCGAGATATAAAGTCAGAATTGCGTGATATAGTCGCAATTGCGTGATATAAAGTCAGAATTGCTTGATATAAAGTCAGAATTGCTTGATATAAAGTCAGAATTGCGTGATATAAAGTCAGAATTGCGTGATATAGTCGCAATTGCGTGATATAAAGTCAGAATTGCTTGATATAAAGTCGCAATTGCATGTTATAAAGTCAGAATTGCGAGATATAAAGTCAGAATTGCTTGATATAAAGTCGCAATTGCGTATTGTAAAGTCAGAATTGTGAGATATAAACTATTAAAAGTCAGTCTTGTTTTTCCTTAGAATAGGCTTTATGCACAGCTTCACTACTTCCTGAACTTCAGCCAGCCCTTTGTTTCCTGTCTGTCATTATTGGACAAACTGATTAATCCAGGTGTGCCTGATTATTGTTTCTGAGGCCAGGCACACCTGGATTAATCAGTTTGTCCAATAATGACAGACAGGAAACAAAGGGCTGGCTGAAGTTCAGGAAGTAGTGAAGCTGTGGCATAAAGCCAATTGGCCTGATAACTCGCGAGTTTATATCTCACAAAAGATGTCAGAATCTCGAGATATAAACTCGCAATTATGTGTTATAAAGTCAGAATTGCGAGATGTAAACTCGCTATTGTGAGAAAAAAAGTCAGAATTGTGAGATAAAAAGTCTCAATTCTGTTTTTTTTTCTCGCAATTGTGACTTTATTTCTCATAATTGCGACTTTATTTCTCATAATTGCGACTTTATATCTCGCAATTGCCACTTTATTTCTCATAATTGCGACTTTATTTCTCAAAATTGCGACTTTATTTCTCATAATTGCGACTTTATATCTCGCAATTGCGACTTTATTTCTCATAATTAAGACATTATTTCTCATAATTGCGACTTTATATTTTGCAATTGCGACTTTATTTCTCAGAATTGCGACTTTATATCTCGCAATTGCAACTTTATATCTCGTAATTGCCACTC